GTAATATTTCTCACCATGGGATATTTTGGACTGAAAGGAACATGTAATATTTCTCACCATGGGATATTTTGGACTGAAAGGAGCATGTTACAATTCTCACCATGGGATATTTTGGACTGAAAGTAGCATGCAACATTTCTCACCATGGGATATTTTGGACTGAAAGGAGCATGTAATATTTCTCACCATGGGATATTTTGGACTGAAAGGAGCATGTTACAATTCTCACCATGGGATATTTTGGACTGAAAGTAGCATGTTACAATTTTCACCATGGGATATTTTGGACTGAAAGTAGCATGCAACATTTCTCACCATGGGATATTTTGGACTGAAAGTAGCATGCAACATTTCTCACCATGGGATATTTTGGACTGAAAGTAGCATGCAACATTTCTCACCATGGGATATTTTGGACTGAAAGGAACATGCAACATTTCTCACCTTATCTGCTTCCTGTACATCACATATCTTTTCTCCTGTACTTGGATTTACAGTCGGAAACACTTTCCCACTGATGGAATTTACAAATTCATTGTTGATGAAAAGCTGCAAAGAACAATATATTTCATGAGTATATTTCACACACCAAACCAAATACACAAGTTTTATTTGTCCTGAAAATGAAATTAAGTTAGATTGAGATTTGTGATTTTTATATGGCTGAAAATGTTTGTAAGAAATGACCATATTTTGCATGATTGTCACCTTGCTTGCATCATATACAGCACCATGGTTATGCAGATGACAACCAACTATACAAAGCAACCAGCATAGAGCACCATCAGGCAACACTGGATATAGTGAAAAACTGTATCATTGTATCAAGAAATGGATGACACTAAACAAGCTTCAATTAAATGACAGTAAAACTGAGGCCATGCTAATTATGTCACCAAGTCTGACATTGAAATTATCATTTCCATCCTCAATTACTTTTGCCAGTTCACATATACCTTTTGTAACTTCAGTCAAAAATCTTGGTGTTACACTAGACAGCAATCTCAACATGTCACAACATGTCGGAATTGTGTGCAAGGCGGCATACATTCAGCTATTAAAGACAGATAAGTTTGATTCGCCATTATTTGACCCCTTATGCTACAAAGACACTAATTTGTGCATTTGTACTCTCATCTAGATTATTGTAATAGTCTACTGGCCGACTGTCCTCTCACTATCACAAACAAACTACAACGTGTTCAAAACGCAGCTGCCCGGTTAATTTATAAATCAAAGAAATCTGATCATGTCAGTTTACTTTTAAAATCACTGCACTGGTTACCAATTACATCTCGTATACATTATAAAGTCATAACTATTTGTTACAATTCCATAGCAGCCACCGGTCAATCATACATATCACAACTACTTCAACTATATACTCCTGCCAGACAACTTCGTTCATCCTCAGACACCCGTATTTTCTTGAAACCGTGCGTTTCAACCAAAACATATGGTGAACACACATTTGCTCATATTAGCCCCTCTACCTGGAACAATCTACCATATGATGTCCGCCACTCAAGTTATCATGACTCTTTTTGAAATAGGTTGAAAACTCACCTATTTGATTTGAATTGAAATTTACTTTGTTATGCGCTTAGAGCTAATTTAGGTTAAGCGCAATATAAATACTCCATCATCATCATCATCATCATTATTATTATTATTATATCATAGAAGAATGCAAATGTATAAAAAAAAAAACTTTTTGTTGTAGTACATATAGACATAGTTGTTGACTTTCACATTTTCTTGTGGTTATAATAACTCAGTTTTTATCTGATTTCTGTCAAACTTAAATTGATTAATGCAATTTCAGTTTGATTTCAGCATGTCTTGCATGTACCATAATAAATTTTTTTGCAATAACCTAACATCTGATTATCTTGATAATTAGACATTTTATTGAAGAATATATAGTCACATTGGTGACATCAGCCACTGGATGAAGCAGTACTCTGTGATTGCCGATAATGTGATATTTGCAGTACTTGCATTAATAGCCATTTGTGATAACCAACGATAGTTTGTGTGTTGGAAGATTGTCAATTAGTTTGAAGACATATCAAGACTCAATTCACTGGCTGTGAGCAACTAAAGATATTGAACAACTGATATAGACAACTTAATTGTTGGTGAACTAGCTTGTCTCTGAATGTTGGCTTATTCAGTTAGGAAACAACATGCAGACAAACTGTGACAATTGAGGAAGACTGCAATCACAAGGAAACAAATTTGAAAAAGTACTATAGTACTCAATTCCATAACATCCAGCACCATTTTTCCCTGAGGTAATATTTCAAGGTAGAGATAAAAAAAAACATTACAGTATTAAATCAAAACTCAGAAACAACTGAGGGATTTGAGGACATGAAATA